AGCAGTCTGTGCTGTAGTTATATATATTTTTTTTTAGGTCTCTCCTTCCTGTAAAACCCGCCTCCCTGTAACTTTACTGATTGAGTTTTTCCAGGAAATTTAATTTTGCTGCTCTATGGTTGTTTTAATCATTTGTTAACAGTCTCTTCTGTTGAAAGACATTAATTAAATCTCACAGCTAGTAAGAAGGGAGATTGTGTGTGTGATCTCTGTGGCAATATGCAGCACAGTTCTTTATGATCTCTATATTCTGTCTTCTGTTGTTTGGAAATTCTCGGCTTCACTGTTTTTAATAAATATTTTTGTTTAAAATGTAAGAAAAAAAATCTCTTATTTAAAAAAAAAAATCCTTTAGTTGTAATTACTCATGCTTTTCCTTCACCTTCCACTTTGGAATTGGAATAACCCCATCTGTTCCCTCAGTCTGCTTAGGTAAGGGGTGAAATTTAACTGGTCGTCTTTTGGGTTTGTCTGTCATCTCCATGGAGATGAAGGAAGTAGCTTATATGTACCGTGAGGACGGGAATAAACAAGTAGGTCTGAAAATGAGCTGGATGCTTTTCTCTATAAATAGCTGATAATTAACTGAGGAACAATTTAGATCGTGCTTTCCCAACAGCCTGTTTTGAAGTCGCTGATTAGTTTGGGGGACAGGCGGTGCTCAGTGCTGGGCTTACAGGCTGCATCCTCCTGGTGACACTGGTTAGAAGAGCCGGGTTGCTGCAGTCTGGGATGCAGTGGCACTTAAAAAGTAAATTACTTGGGGGAAGCCAAGAAGATTCTTTGAAAGTTTGGGGTTTTTTTCTTTGTTGTGTTTTGGTTTGGTTGGTTTTTTTTCCCTGAGGGAGGTTCTACATGCACAGATATGAGGAACAGTAAATTGAAACAGCCTCTTCCCTAATCATCTTTGTTTTGTCTCTTAGTTCCCATCAGTGCTGAACAGTCATGGCCCGTTTACTCTGTCTGGACTGGATGGACCCTCTACCCCTGGCCCGTTTTCCCCTGATCTGCAGAAGACATAGCACATGAACTCATGGAAAGGACATATTGGCAAGCAAGGGAAAGATAGGACACTTATATTTAACCGTGTTTTTTTTAAATGAGCAATTTATAATTCCACAGAGATTATCAACAATCATAGTTTTTGCCATTCCCAAATAAAATGCCTTTTTTGCAAAATTCCCTTTTTTGAAGACCCAGGTTGGGAATGTATATGCAAACGCCTTAATGGAGCTGCAGCTCCAGTCTCTTCTCTTCCCTCCTTGGTTTGAAGACTTCCCTACGGCTGAAGGCGGTTTCGGCTGGGGGTGCAGTAACTGGGTCTGCACTGATTGCAGTAAACAGTATGGGAGAAGTCTTTTCTCTGTGACTCCTGGAGAAACCCTCTGTTCTTCTGCTTCCTATGCTTGGCAAGAAGAAATCCAATCCTGATTGAAGCTGGCATTTCAGGAAATGCTTGGGAAAGGGGTGCGTGCGTTGGCTTTGCCTTGGGGCCTGATAACTTCTGCAGTAACAAAACAGCCCACGTCTTTTCTGCTGTAAAAACATCTTGTCTTTTTGCAGGGAGAAATTTTCAAGGAATACTCAGTGATTGCGTTACTGAGATACGGACAATTTTGTAATGGCATTGTGTACCGACAGCCCAGCCCCTCGGAGAGGTGGTCTGGCCAGCTTCTGGATGCTTCCCTGCCCTCCCTCCGGTGAGGAGACAAGTGAACGGTGGGATTAGTTCCTTTCAGTTCTCAGAAAGTTTGAATGCTGAAGTCCAAACATTTCTTGCGCCAGAGACCTGTTACAAAGCCTGTAACCTCACTGCTAGAAGATGAGCAGGATGGTGGATTTTACATGGGGTTTCGAGGGTGTGTCTGTATTTGGTGAGGTTGCTGCCTGATGCTCGAGTTTCAGACCCAAACAGTGGGCGAGAACACTAGCGGCTGAGCATTAATGTTACTGCTCTTTTCCCACAGTTGCAGTGGAGAAGCTGTTCTTCTCCCAGCTCTTCTCTCAAGTTTTACTTTTAGATCTATTGCTCTTTTTATTTGAGGGAGCACCTGGACCCGAAACAAGTTCAGTGCGTACAGCTAGCAGAGGTACCACGGTGCATCAGCTTCGTTGCAGATTTGCGCTTGCGTTGCTTTTCTTGGTGGCCGTGTGTATGGATTAACACAAGATGAGTTTCCAGAGCCATTTGAAGCACTGATGAAATGAAATTTGTAGTTTAGGTTTTTTTAAACCTTGGGAGGCCTTTTAAGAGAACTGAGGAATGAAAGAAGAGAGACTCTGCTCTCGCCGTCCCTCAAGGGCTGGATGGCTGGGCTGTTGGCACTGGGCTGTGCGCCCTCCTGCTTTGAGTGTCTGATGTCAGGCAGCAACTTCTCTTTGCTACTCAATGTACATTGAGTCGGTGATGTAAGATAATCTTCTTTGTAAAATACCCCCTAGAAAACCAGTGGAGACCATCTCTTTCCTTTGGCATCCCGACCGGCTGTGGTACAGAGCAGGATTGTACCTTTGCAGCAGGAGGAGCTGACAGTGTACGCTGTATATATTGCACCCGTCTTACGGATAAGTGGTGAACTCGAGCTTTCCAGAGTTTTCCTTTTGCCACTTTTGCAGACTCTGAATTCACTTTAAAGCGTGTGACAATACCCAAGACTGAACTTACTGCAGTGATGTTATCTTTCTATATTCTAGCATTGAAATGTGGAAACCACTTAGTCTGCTCCTGACATGATGCCCTAGACAGGTGGGTGTAACGGAGTTGCTTTTTGGGCATTGTTCATCCAGGAAGTCCCCAGCCTGGTGGGAGGAAAGAATAAGCCTATCTTTAGGTGGAGAGAGCAGAGAGTGAGCTCGTGGAGTGAACTGTCTTCCTGTTTGGTTATGTCAGAGGCATGACACTGCTTCGCATTGTAGACATCAGCAGATGCAGGATAAAGTTCTGTGCCAGCAGCTCTTAAAATGTGCAATATTGACTTTTTTTTTTTTAAATGCAGAAAGCAAGCTGCAGATCATAATTAAGAGCAGGCACCTGGACTTTTCTGGTTTGCATGATGGCTTATGAGTCTGCTCTAGAAAATATATATAGCTATGTATAAATCGCAGCACTTTTAATGGTTGTTTTAGGTCGGCCAATTTTATGCCCACCAAGTGTGTGGACTCGAGAGCAACATTGCAGACTAGTATTAGAATTTTAAAGTAATTAATGAGCACTAAAGACTTGCAATTTAATTGCTCCCCTTTCCTTGTTCCCCTATGGAGAAAAGCCAAGTTTATTTGTTTAAAAGTTGTGTATGTGCACACATGCACTTGATTTTTTTGTAAACTGTATCACTTTCAGCATAGGTATGCAAGAGAACCAAATGCTGATGGAGCTTGTCAGTTGTGCTTTTGATGCTCTTCTCCAAGTAGCTTTGTAAGATTGCACTGCCACAGCTGGTTGATTCACCTTCGGGAATACCTTCTTCAGAGAAAGTTAATATGAAAATGCAACCTGTATGCAGAGGATTCACCCTGGTAATGTCCAGCTTCCTGACAGCACCGAGATGATGATTGCTTTTGCTGCTTAAGCACCTGCCTAGGAAAATCCAAGTCCCATACAGGGTTATAATCTCAGGAGGCAGTTGGGAAGGCAAGCTAAAAGGGGGTGGGAGAGGAGAGGCTTGCTCACTTTTTCTCCATTGCAACTTTCAGGTCACTTAAGGTAATATTATCGTGTATATATGCTGCCTCATTCAACACATTCACTAACGAGGATGTAACTGCCAGCTTCTTTGGATCACATTCCTGACAGAATTCCACAGTGTCGCTCTGACTTCTTAGAGCTTGGTTATGTGCGCTGCTGGGACTTTCACTAGCTTGCTTCAGGAGCAGTTTGCAGCTCGTTGCAACTTGTTTTTCATTTAGTGTGGGGAAGATGGGGGTTAATATAGGCTCTCTTTTAATTATCACGTTAACAGTCTGTAATATGGGTGTAGTACCGTGTTGGTTTAAAAAAATATTAATGCAGCATTACAGAAACATTGAATGACAATCCAGTTCATGTGGCTGAAGTCGCCGTGGTATTGTTGACTGCTCGATGATCTTTGCATCGGTTAATTCGTGGATGGTGGTAGGATTTGATGATGAGCATGGAAGCTAAAAATCTGTCTTGCTTCTGGAAATCTCTTTGACGTGTCACTGCTGCTGTGTAATAGTTCTGCAGGGTTGAAAAGCTTGCGCTGCTGTTGCTGTGTGCGCTGTGTCTGGCTTTTTTGGAGATGCTGAACTGTCAGGGTGCCACTAGCAACGCACGCTGCTAGCAGAAACAATCCATGGAGAGCAGAAACGTGGTGATAATACCCTAGGGTTGTAGAACCACACTTGTTCTGTCTCATCTGTTTTCAGAGAATGTGATCCGAGTAATGAAGGTGATGGGACAAAAGTTATTTTGTTGTTTTTCTTAACAGCAGCTTCAGTCTAAATCCTTTTTTCGGAAATGGGTCTTCAGCAGTGACGGCTGAATGTCATTCCTGTGCACTGTCTTTGGCACACTCAAGTTGCGTCTTGCAATCGGTCAGGAAGTGATAAAATGGTTTGAATTTGAGAATTCATTGTTTTAACTTGGATCACCCTAAGACTTCAGTATCCATGCAACCTTTGGTATAATGGAGCCTGCGTTACGATCTGAAAGGCTTTGGCTGTTCAGTGGTTTGTTTGGGGTCATTTCTCCCTCGGATATGTTTTCAAACCTCAGATATCTAGCAAATAGGTTCCTCTTTTTTTTCTATCGTGTTCATTTTAACCACAGTGAAGGCTGCTTGCGTGCATTATCTTCCTTGACACGGCTTTTCAAAATGCAGCGAGATGCATTAATGTCAGATTCCCTCCTGACTTCAACGTTCATGCGCGAACTTCTGCAGGTGGAGGTGGGACGGCAGAGCTAGCCTAGCGCGTTGCTGCGGTTTCTCGGGTGAGCCCAGGCGCAGAGTTCTGATCCGCTTCTGTAGCGTTTTCCTAGTGCTGAGGTCAGAACCTGCCCTTCTGACAGTCTGTTGGCTCCCCATGGTTTATCCATGTATCTGTTAGTTACCTTTTGCTACTGTTTTATAGCATTTTTGTATGTACTCATGTTTTACTATACAATTTAACCCCTTCCATTTTTAATGCGTATTTGTTTACAAGACACATCTCAGTGTTGTATCAAGAGGCTATCTTGGTATTGTCAGCTATGAAAATGAACTACATCCGTAGTTTCTGAACATTGTCAAAGTTGACAGGTATTCTTAAAACTTGATGTTTTGGGTGTCCGTAACAATTTTGTTCTGTTTCCTTCCTTTAGTTCTCCTGTGTAAGAAATACACCTACCTTCCAGCCCCCGAGGGCGCGGGGAAGGAGGGTTTATTTTGTCTTTAACAATCAGGAGCATGGCATTGCAAACAGCCCCCGCCCCACAGGATCTCCCACTCGGCAGAGAAGTAGAAAATCCATTAGAATTGCAATCCTGTTGCTTAGAAGCTATTGGGGATGCCTTAATGAGGTGTAGTATGTCTTGCCTAAACAGGAATTTTTATGGTTTGATTTGAATTTAATTGAACAGTAATTGGCGATGGCTGCTGTTGCATTAGCAGATCGGCTGAACGAGGAAGCCCTTGGCTGTTGCCACCCAGCTGAGCCGTGGTGAGTACGTGACATGCTGAAATCAGAGGCTGTCAGATGAAGATTAAAAGATAAAACGCAGTGACAGTTGTACACTGTCCTTCAGGGCTGCTTGAGCGAGTCGTTTGACTGTGTAGGACAGAGAAGAATTGAAAATAGAACCAAACCTTTTCTCTGTAACCTGCTTTTAGCCATAAGGATATAATGTGGGAGCTCCAAAGCCGCAGCCGTGGCCGTGCCGCCCTGTTTGTGTCTAAGGCAGAAAGGTTAAACTTTGGGTTTGGGTGTCTAGCGGATCTTGAACTGAGGAATATTATTCTTCTCTTTGTACAAAGAACAAGCAGAAATAAGGGAGAGTATGGTGACTGCAGAACGTTGATTCTTT